AAAAAAAAAAAAGAGAGAGAGAGAGAAAAGAAAATCACCCTGAAGTAAAGAGCCATCGAAATTAAACTCATCCAGAAAACACAAAATAGAAAGAAAACATAAAAGATGCTTCCATGCAACCAATAACTTTAACAGGAGATTACAGCATCATCAAAAAAATAGCTCAAAATCAAGACATTTTCATTCATAAACCAGAAATTAACATAACAAAATACTTAAAAAACAAAAAAATCAAACGCAAATTCTCCCAATTTCACATATTTCAAGTGATAAATGAGATAGAGAGAGACCTGTACTATAATTGAACTGAATTGGATAAAAGTTAGAGAGAGAGAGAGATGGGCAAGTGCGTTTGGATCTGAATGATAAATTGTCGAAGACAGAATTTTTGTTTCCCAGTTATCATTTCACTTGCTGCGGTTGGTTGCTTTCCGCTTTCAGGGGAACGATGTCGTATGATGTGTTTTTATCATTAATTATCTACTCCAATCTTTTATTTGATTTTTTTATCAAGTAAACCAAATCAATAATTAATTTTAATTACATATTTTATGCATTTCATAACTTTTCAATTATATCAAAACCGGCAAAAAAAATTTGATTTTAATCCCAATCAAATCTTTAATTTGATTATTAAAAAACTTAATTATTTTCTCATAAGTATAATTAAAACGTTAATGGGTGGGCCCACACGATAATGTAGGCACTCCATAATTTTCGAAGGAGGAATAATTTATTTGTTGATCCGTCATTAGTGGATAATAATATTAATATATATTCATGACTCAACTCTCAAAATTAATTAGTATTACTAAGAATATTAATTATGTCAACCACTCCTAAGAAAATAATAATTAATTACTACAAAGTACAAATGCAAACAAAACCAAGCATTTTTCACATCACCTAAATATAACTTCCCACGTAAACTAATATTTGTTTGTTGAAATCATTTCGACCGTCCAACTCGGAAAATTACAGCCACGATACTAAACCTTTCACTTTTATGCAAATTTAACTCAAACCTTTACTTTGTTGTATCCACGGTACTAAACCTTTTTAATTTTAATTATTTGATTTTAGCTATTACATTATAAAAAAAAAATGTAAAGTTATCATTTTAACATTTTAAAATTAGTCAAAATTATTGTTAAGATCAATTATCTGGTCAACTAACGATTAAAATAATAGTTTTCATTCATTTGAACTTTAGGTATAATTTTTTTGAAAGGTTTGGTACCGTAGACGCAACAAAGTAAAGGTTTGGATGAAATTTGCATAAAATGTGAGAGTTTTGGTACCGTGACTTCAATTTTCCTTATAAATTATTATTATTTAACCTTTGTTTGGTATAGTTTAATTTTGGTAAAAATTTTGAAGGATTGTTCAATTGGTCAGGCTTTGTGTTTACTCCACAATGGTCACTAGTTCGAATCTCCTCAGATCCACTGAGGTGAATATCTGACAGTAAATTTTAGGATTCCATGAAATTAGTCGAGGTGCGCGCAAGTTAACTCGGACATCCACGGTTATCAAAAAAAAAAATTAATTTTGGTAAAAAAAAAATTAATTTAAAGTTAATAATTAATTTTAATTATATATTTCACCATTCACAATTTTTATAAAAAATTATTAAAATTTGATTTTTAACTACACGAAACTGGGACATGTTACATAGATTAACCAATGGGTACCCATTGTAACGGGGGAGAAAACTGCGGGATTCAGCCATTGCATGATTACATGTGTCCTTTAAAAGTTAGACGCAAATCAACTAATGCAAAAGTCCTACAATCATATTAATGTAATTGAATAAATTGTATATTGCTTAGACTTTTAAGGAAAAGTGTTCATTGCTTAAGCAAACTATTTTGACTTGACAAAAAGCATTTTTTAAAGAGAAATTTCATTTGTACAGGAGAGATTCACAATCAAGGTTGACAACCGATTACATGCGTGTGGAGCTCGTATGATTAAAAAATTCAAAAAAAATTGAACCCTTCATTATGAGTGTCGATCAACCTGTATGTCAACAATTTGATTGTACAAATAGCATGTTTGTTTTTTAAAAGTAAAATTTGTAATTATTATTTTATTATTTGGAAATAGACAGAGACGAGAGAATCTTGAAACAGGAGAATTTGCAATGAAAACCTTTTTACCCACAAATTTTATAGGACGATGACTTGCTATTTACGTTCTATAGGATTCACAGCTTATAACCACTACCAAACAATCACTTGACCTGTAAATACAAGAAGTCGTTGCTGCGGCTCTTTGATAAGTTGGGGTGAAGCTAATAGAGGAATGACTTGAAGCCGTAATGGGATTCCAGGAAAACTTGAATTAGTAAACTTAATCCTGGGATAGAGACCACCAATTTGATCCTGGCAGCCACCGTCCCATAAGCTGTTCCAATACCAATACAAGTCGGGTGACACTCTCATTACTATCGTCTCCGCATGGAGAAGACCTTTCACAACAGCTGCTGATAAGATGCTGGACGTCCCCAGCCCACTTCCACGATGAACATTGGCCCAAGTCTTTATCTTCAAGCCTGTGGATTGAAGGATCTTTTCATTGATAACACTAGTGACGAGTAATGCAGGTTTAACCAGTTGAAATGGTCGCTGCTATCAAATGGAAGAAAAAACATATATAACTTATTGTAGGAGATATTACACCGATAATGTGCATATTATATTAATCAAGAACATACCGTGAAATCGAAATATTATTCGATTTACGGAAATCTGATTTGAGAAGATAAAATAGTGATTACCGACTTCCAATATATGAATATGGATTCATCACTTTTCAATCTTGAGCGCGTGTCATTCTTTAATTCAAAACTTGTATGGAATCAAAAGAATATTAATTATTTTCCGAAATCAAAATACTAAATTAGAATGAAATCGAAAAAGAAAGATAAGATGCAAGTAATGTGATCGGTCGAGGCAAGTGTTTGACACTTTATTCTTAAGATGAATTTGCCCCGCATCGATGCTAACGGTTTATCGACAATCATCTCCCAAGATATAACGACCACGTCAAGCCACATGAGCACTCCAAATGACTTAGACCAACGAACTCGAACGGAGTTCCTTCTCTACCATAACCATGATTTTTGATGCAAAAAATAATCACTTCTACAAAGTGGTTTATGTAGAACTAAAGTAAAATATGGAATGAAATGATATGGAACTATCAATTGAATTGTTCTTCTTTCTTGTTGTTAATCCAAACACATGGGGATCTATATATATAGTAGTTGGAACATCCATACCAAGAGACATCTCTTGGAATTTAAATCTCTCCATAAAGAGACACAATTACATCTCTACATAAAGAGACTATTATTGAAAATTAATGCCAAGAGTCATGATCTCCATATGAAAAGACTCATCTTTTCATCTACTCATTCTCTAAAATATTCCACAATATTCTATACAATTTTCAACAATTTTCAACAATTTCAAGCATTTTAAGTTTGGTTTAATTTCTCATTCACCAAACAAAAAAATTCCACTTAAACAATCACTTAAATTGGTCACAACCAATTTCGAATTTTCCAACACTTATTTCCTGCATCTCATGAAATTATAGTCAGGTTGTTTTTGCAGCTCTATGGTTGTCCCGATGGGAAGTAAACCTTTCGTGTTATTGCCATGTTCAGCATGCAACCAGAACGCTCCAAGCTTGATGATTACTCCAGCGGCCAGCCCCCAACAAAATATACTCAAAACTGGTAACTCAACAGTCACATTTCTAGTCTGAAAAGATTGATCAGATGCACCATCAAAACTGTAGTAGAGGGCCGAGAGGGAGGATTCAAAGAGTTTTTCTGACAGAGCACATAAATTATCAATAATTTGTATGAGAAAAAGAAAAAGGTATTTAATTCTGCTAATAGCAAAGTTAAGAAATGAACACAAAAAAGAATTAACTGCTAAGAAAATGCAAATTATCCCCGCTGAGAGTAATTCCAGAAAAATGGCTGTGATCTTGCGCACTTTGAAGAAAAAAATTCATGGAATTTTTCCTATTAGGTACAAATTAAATTTAAATTAAACTGAAAAATTTGAGTCATTACCTTCAAAACCATATCTTACTGCCGAAGCAGTTTCATCAGCAACTGCAGCCCACAATTTATGCTCCATTTCAGATGCCATCCTTTCATCATTGATGCTCGCAAAAGATCAAGATACGCTTGGTGTGCCCTGCTTTTAGGAAGAACCTGAGAATTTTGAGCTTGAAAGTTAGGACAGAGGAATAGAAACTCTTTTAACATATTTGAACTTTCTGCAAAATTTCTTCACACAATTGATATAAATGGTACCCAAGCAAGCCAATATTAAGACATGCTGTAACAATCCCAGCTGCAAGATCTACTTGATTAGTAGTGGAAGCACATTAGCTAGAAGTCAATTGATCTATACAACTCTTCTAGACTGATACAGTGTGATCATCTCCATAATAACTGGAGTGTTTCTCTTCTTGGTTGCTCAAGCTCATTAGCCATGATACAGTTGGAGCATCTCAGAGCACGGATGAACATGCAATATTTTGGCATTTCACAAGCACTTGTCTTTCGCTTCCTTTAAGCCCCAAAGATCAGTATCCCGAATTCCTAAATCATCTAAAATTTCTTCCAGGGTTTACCGCAAAAGGTCCCATCTTTCGAAAGTGAAATTTTTTGGATTATCATAGAGTCCACAGTAAACTACTACCTTTTCTGTGCATCCTACCAAAGGAACCTCCCAGAGGCAGTGGCGATCTTCAAGCATGAACCTGAATGAATTCTGAACTCCACTTGAGTTGGAGGAATCATATATAAGAGAGTCTTCACCTATAAAGACACCAGGGGATATTTTGCTAGAAACAATGATAGCTGAGGCCGCTATGTCAGGCACAGTGGTTGCTGGAATTGAACAAGGGTGTCTTCTACTGACCAGTTCAGAACCAGTACAACGGGCGAGCTAAACCAGCATGTTGGAGCCATTGCCAATACACCAGAGATATAGGGCAAGTGTATCCATGGATTTCATTGCAAGCTTGCAGGGAGGATGGACAAACTAGTAAAGGTGGTACTAGACATGAGTTCTCTGCCATCTTCACCCCAGCCCCTACTAACAGTACTGCAGAAGAAGCTGCAAGATGATTTGTAAAAGATGATGTAAAGTACTAGGGCATACCCCGGACCATCATCAGTGATAGGGACCCTAGGTTCACTGGGAGGTTCTGGACAGAAGTGTTCAAACTCCTAGGGTCCAAGCTCAACTTCTCCACAAGCTTCCACCTAAAGTACGAGCTTCGTCCTTAGCCCGGAACTCGTTCAACGCTAGAGAAGTAAGGATTCAGTCTCGCTTCATCGCTCGCTTGACTGAACTCGTTAGAAAAAGAGAGGCAAAAAAGGGATTCCCGGGTATAAGGAATATAGAGGGTTAGGATCACGAGACTTGAGGGAAAATGAAGAGGAATAAAGAACCTTATTAGGCTTAGGCTTACAGCAGGAACTCGAATAACACCGGACTATCTCGACGAAAAGGCCTGACAAGGGAAGGAGGTGAATACTCGAAAGCCAAAGATAGATCTATTTCGTCTCGTCCCTTAGTCCCGTCAGTAAACATTTTTTTCTTCTGGCCCGACCTTAGTTGAGTGCCGTCAGTCAGTGGGAGATACTTCCTGAACCCTTCGTTCAGTCGATAGTTGTGTTTTAGGG